ATTGCTGTCTAAGTCCACCTCACGTGGCAGTCACTCAGACAGCTACTAGGGGGATTTCCTGGTTGATCTGGTTTATCTAGTTGACTCGGTAAAGCTGATGTTTTAGGTTGATGCTCTTTAACTCCCTAACCTCTCGTTGAAAATGCAGTGAATTCCAGACTTTAGATGCCACCAAAATACGACATCCCAGTTTCTATAGATAAGGCTCAATTTCAGGTCATATGCTACAAGCGAGACTTAAACGTTCCTCACCATTAGAAAAGTCCTACTAGATGAACACGTGCCGTGCCTGATATACAAGTTAGTCATAGTGAGGTTAGGGACCAATGCATTATTAAACTCCATGTAATTACAGCTCACATTTTGAAGTTAGAGAATTATAGGGAGAGGCCACAAGTAAATTTCTATCTCATTTTCCATCTCATATATGTAGATGTGCAAACATCCACATGGAGGAGATGGAAAATGAGAGAGAAAATTACTTGTGGCCTCTCCCTATAATTCTCTCAAACTGTCTGGGTGATATTGCAGAACTGAAGTACTGCCTGGCTATGACTTGACCTGGGAGAAGGCTGGTGGTTGAGGGTATCCACAGAGTTTTAAACTGTCAGAGCACTGCTCTACACCACTCATGACGGCAATAAATATTAGCCATACACCACTGTTAAAATAAACTGATATTAGCCATGTAGCAACTGTTAAAATAAACAGATATTAGCCATTCATCCATCAGTGAGAACCACACAAGGGTTAGGGGGTCCATGGGAAATCACAAAGTACAAATTTTCCACGACCTGAGCTAGTTTTACACTCACCAATGGCTAGTGGCTAAGTGGAAACTTTGAGCCCTGCTAGACCTTTATTTTCACTTACCTACAAACACTTATTGCCCTCGTTTTGACCATACCATCTGGAGTCAAACCATACTCCACCACAAATATTTTTGCTGTGTTACTTTTCTGACAAAAGCCTTAATTAGTGAAACCCAGTGTTACCCTATCAGTAAGATAAGTCAGACTTGATTCTGTTTTCCCAGTTGTGCTAGAATCCTAGCTTTGAAGTCCATATATCTACACCCATCCTCCACCGCATCATCTACAAGGGCTACCACTTTTTGATGTATTTTTCATATGTTATTCAGAACATACACATGTGAGAAAATGACATGTCTCATGTAATAGGTCATTTAATAGGTTAATAAAATATTACACAATACTTCAGTTTAATCCGTTCAGTTAATGAGGTCCTTTTCATGAAGCAAAAAAGAGAGCAAGGAACACAACGTTCCAAGTCCCTGTATAGCCGCCGCACCCACCACCTCAAAACCTCCCCAAAAGGGGGGCAGTGGCTGCAGGGGTCACGCAGAGACCAACGTACCAGTATGAGACTCCAGCTGTCTCAGAGGGGCTTAACCCCAAATATAAACACAAGAACAAAGAAATATGCAGACCGTCTCAATTATATGAATGAAACTTACTGCATTGACTGGAAAAAAATATATCTATGTATAGCGCGATGTTCCAAATATAGAACCTGGCTATTAGAAATAATATGGTCAGAGACCCTAATTAAACAAAGTATATACAAGTGAACCTACAATCCTATGCCAGCCCAGGGTAGTATAGATCAAGAGGTAGTAAAAAAGATAACCTCACTCCCCCTTATAATTAAGCTTTATTGTGATCTGCTATAGGGATAGGAGTATACAGTAGCTAAGTCTCTATAATCCATGCATCCTAGGAAGTATCCTGGTCACACTAGAAACATATTAAGAAAAACAGAGAGAGATAAGGACTGAAAATAGAAGTAAAAAAATCAGTCAAAAACAGACTGATAATTAGCATTAATAAAGCCTCTCTCCCTGTAAAGCTAGCTAGATAGGCATAGGAAAGAAAAGAAGAAAACGATATAAAATAAAGTTAAATTAGATGGTGATCATGGTGCTCCAAACACCAGTGCCCAGTGCAGAAAAAACGCCCAACGTACGTTTCGGTGCAGAAAGATGCACCTTCGTCAGGGGCCAACAGATAACTGAAGAGAAGACTCTTAAATACCCCAATTGCCAGGAAACATGATTACCTTGTAGCCAATGGAGTGTGGGGGTGTATACCTCCCCAGCTGCCTCTAATATCCTGGCTATTCCTCTGTGATTGCTAATGCTCATTCATCTGTATGAAGGGGAAATCCCTCAGCCGGTCACGTGACCTGTGATGTCATGCGTCACGTGACGTATCCGGCATTCTCCTAACGGGCGTGTCTCATTCATCATAGTGCTGCAGTACTGCCCATCCGAGCCTCTCCTGTCCATCATCCTCACATGGGTTGATCCCCTGTGACAGATGGGCGGAGCTAGGTATTCTCTGTGTATGGAGAAACCGAAATTGTCCAAATTAAGGCTCAAATTGATAAGCTGCATATTGATAATGTATCATTCCAAAGTACCAATGTGTACTATCTAGGATGTACAGAATCAGCTGAAAATATAAGGCAGTGCTGATTACATATTATTCTAATATTGAATCTATTAAAGATGTAGTAAAGAGTATGAGAGGACACCCCAATAATAAGAGAAAAATTGAATGATAAGGGGTCCTGGGATGTTGTTAACTCCCACTCCCCCGTCCCAGGCAAGGATATATGATAATAAATATATTTAGTGTTCATAGGACCCATGCTAGGATGCAAAATTAACATGGTACATCCTGCCGCTATATCCTGTACACTGAGTCACTTGACAATATACCCTCTGAATGACCAGATATGACTTAGTCCGTAAAATAAAAATAATAATAATAAGGCTAGCATTCTTTTTGTCAAGAGGTCTTTAAACTTATGGCACCTGAGGTTCCTAGTTGGTCTCCCATACAAGTACTAACCAGGCCCAAGTCTGGATGACTTCTGAGATCTGACGAGATCAGACATTTTCAGACTGGTATGGCCATTGATATTTTCATTCAAGTGCTCAGCAAGCTTGGTCTAGGAACATTATTGGTATTATAGTCATTATATAGCTATTTCCTTGGGAGAATTCAAGCATTAGCAATTTAGTGGTCCTCATCCGGTAATCATGAGAATAAATTTATATGATAAAAAATAATATAAAAAATAATAATAAATAGAAAAGAATAGTGATAATAGTAGTAATAGTAATAAGCAAAGAATATACCCATTGTGGAACAAACCGCGCTATATTTACAAATTTACAAGTGTATCAGGCCATAAGGCTCACTCAGAATAGATTAGTGCAGAGATCACCCGCCGAGTACCACTGCCCGTAGAGGTCTGAGTCCCACACCTGGTATCCGCCGAGGGTGACAGGGTTTTGAGCTTATAGATCCAGAAGCTCTCCCTTTGGAGTAGCTTCTTGTCTAAATCCCCCCCTCTTGGTCCCAAGGTAACCCTTTCAATACCACTAAATCTGATTCCTTCAGATGAGCCCCCATGATGTAGTTTCAAATGTTTAGAGATAGGGGTGTCAATTTGTCTTGTGGGGTTTACCGAATTGACATGTTCCCGTATCCTAAGTTTAAACATCCTAAAGGTTTTTCCCACATACAGTTTTTTTCATGAAGTCATAAGAACCACTAAGGAGTTAAGTCCTGACCTAAGTCATGTCAATAAACATAGACATGTAGTGATATCTTCCAGCAATGATGACAGTATGTAGGCTAGTAGAGCATCATGGGAAATGTTTATCCATATGGAGTTTAATTTGTCATAGAACATTGTTGTTCTTCCCCTAAGTAAAAAAATCACAAACCTGACGTCTCATGCATCTCACAAGATGAAATAAACGTAACTCCTTCTTGAGGCCACATAATAATGTTACTTACACAGTAGTTAAGGTCTGAAATGTTGACATTCACACCTGTGGATCTCTTCAGGTTCCCATCATGTGAAACAACAACTTGTTCGTCTTTTGTGAGGTGACAGTCCAGTTCCAGCATATCGGTCCCCAAGTTGATGGCACTGTAAGGTATGATGAGAAGACATTATCAGGTGAGCATCTACAAAAGGGATCACCGGACTTGCAGAGTTCGATTTCGGTGAAATGGACACTCTAACTAGCACAGCCACTCAGTTCATTGTTGTAGGTATGGTTCAAGAAGTGTCTGGGTGCTTCCTTCTGTAATAATAGGTTCAAGCAGTGGAGGTGGGTTGTCCCAACGCTGCTAGCCTATCATTGGAATCCAAGGCTGGACGGATGTAAAACCTTTGTATTATTTATGCTGCAGCAGAAGGGGTAGACACCACCACAAAAACAGTGGGGGACAGTGCCTATAAACTCTTTATACCATAACAATTGCAATTAGCTGTAGTGGTATCACATTTCAAATACAGTTTTATGTGGTACAGGACAGAATGGCTAAATAGTGATTTCACTTTCCATATTCATAAAAGAGTCAAGCATCTTATAAGAGTGTACAGTATATACTGGAAAGATAGGGTGACAACTCGACAATTTTAAGAATACAAGAACTGCCTACTGCAACAGGCAATATAAACAAAGTTAAGGTAACTAAAAAAAGAAAGAAATGGGGGGCAGAAGAGAGAGCGAGAAGGAATGCAGATTAAACTTCATTCCATTTGAGGTTTCTCACACATTGTCATAAAAAGAGGGAATCGGAAGTCTATTAGATAGACTCTTTGTAGTGGTCCAAGGGGTTCATACGTCATGAAAAGAAGGGAGAGTATACCTGACGATAGCTGTTTATTTGTCCATTAGTTGGTTAGATTCTATTGTGGTTATAACTACTGGCAACCTAAAGCTAGTGGGTTCTAGGGCTCACCTAGCGGTTAAGGTAATCTTATTGTATGAATTTTGTGAGGTTGATTCCCTCAATGGATCTAGTTAATAGTAATGCCCAGGGTGCCATAACCAAGGACCAGAGGAAGTATTTGTATTTCCTGTATTTGTTGCCAAAAGATCTGTACTTTTGGGGCCAACATAAGTGGATATACAAATATATCAATCTTTATCTAAAGCATCTGGGAGTTGGAAGGGGCACATTGTTTTTTTTTGTAAAGTCATGGAAGGCCTGAGGATATATGTACAAGTAAAGTTTGCTGGTTTGCCAGGGCAGCAAGACACCTGGACCTGCCCTGGCAAACCAGCAAACTTTACTTGTACATATATCCTTATGCAACTAAACAAATGGCAAATTTTCCATAGTTGTAAAAAACAAATTCTGCCAGCTTCAACCAAATGGTTATATATGTAGAACTTCACGCATCATAACCACTAAAGCCCACAGTTATTATGGTGTTGTAGTGTTCCTTTAATGGTGCAGATATAATTTAAGTATGGCAGTCTTTAAAGAGTTTATCCAACTGCTGTAGTGGTTGTGATTAGAAGAGTACCCTAGTCCCATTATCCAGTAATAGGGTAGATCCTTTTGTAACATTTTGCCTATTGCTTGGGTCCAGGCTCCTGGTCTGCTGAAGGTAGGTTTAAGACATTCAGTTTCTGCAGAGCTGCAAAAGCCGGATGCCGATTGTGCCACTGTTAACTGCTCTCAGTCAATGTATGAGCATCTGACATATAGACGCATAGAATCCATATTAGTCGGCTGGCTAATGATGCCCCAATAATGTTGCACTTGGTGGAGTAACACCTCCAGCAGTAGAGGTGTTAAACCCCAAAAAACTTTCAAAGCAAAATGTTGCACATACAGACTCCAGGCACCATGGCCACTTCAAATATCTTTAATGATAATGAGTGCCTTAGCAAGCCTCTTGCTTGTTGCATCACAGATCAACTCCTTAAGCTATTCTTTTGACGATCTTGTTCATCCTTCCTTAACACGTCATTCTCATGTGCCCTCTGCACTCTCAATGCCATATATATATATATATAGTGTTCAAGTAGCGATTGTAGCCATATTAGTCCAGTGATGTAGATGTAAATAAAAAAGGTATTACAAGATAAGAATTTAATCTGTTTTTTACATATATATATATATATATATATATATATATATATATACACAGGTCACTTGGCACTCACCTTCACATACAACAAAATAATAATAATACCCTGGTGCAAACCACGTAATAAAAATATAAAAAGAAAAATGAAGGTGCACACAAGGGAATTTTAAATAGTAGATATTTACTTAGGTGTCCTGATCAGGACAGTTTGTTTGTTATGTAAAGAAGACACCTAAGTAAATATATACTATTTGAAATTCCCATGAGTGCACCTTCATATTTCTTTTTTATATATATATATATATATATATATATATATATATATATTTTCTAAATCTCTGAATATTTTGTGTCAGCCACAGCAGTACACACAGAGATGACATGTTGTTTCTCAATCGCCTAAAAAGGCCATAAAGCAATAGTTCAGCTGCCTGGAGATAAAACGGTCCATTTTATATGTAAATTCTTATCTTGTATTTGCCTGGCTACAGCTCTGGTTAGCACGTCAGACTTCCGTTACATGTTAAAAGCTGATGCAAATACGGACATGCTGCTTTTCATGACCATCTAGAATCCAGATACTAAGTGATTACATTGCATTTATCAGGGCAATAAAGAAATGGCAAAGTGAAATTCTAAACATAATGGATCCACAGGGCCAGGTTTGTTCAATTAAATAGCTTGATGTAAAAAAAACTTGCTCCAGTAGTGGTTTTTACTCAGCCCACTTCCCTTACCTTCGCCAACAGCTGAAGATTCTAGCAGGTGAAATTTAGCACATTTATGATGTACAGTGATTTTATTAAATAAATATATAAAGTTCATTTATTTCAGTAATGCAACGTAAAAGGGGAAACTAATATATGAGATAGACACATTACATGCAAAGCAAGATAGTTCAAGCCGTGATTTGTCATAAGTGCGATGATTATGGCTTACAGCTCATGAAAACCCCCAAATCCACAATCTCCGTAAATTATAATATTACATGCAATCAATAAAACAAGTAGTGTACATAGAACAATATCGGACCTCTGAAAAGTATAAGTATGCATATGCCCCCCTAGGAGCAACTGGGCCCGAGGCAGCTGCCCCATTTTCGTTAAAGATGGCCTTGGTTATCATGTCCGAGAAAGCACAAATATATACTTGGCAATGAGGATATATGTCCAAAAGGAACAGCTAAGAAACTGCATAGAACTGTCAGACTCCGAGGCCTCTGGTAGGTAAATATACCACCGAGGAGAGGTGTGAAAATCAATTTTGAATATATGTTCATATTCCATAGATTATTATTACCATAGGGCACAGAGATCACCTGCATGCAGGAGGGTGAAAAACACACAAAAACACACTACACCGCACAGCCAGCACATACCACATCCAAACATATTACACACATTTTTTGCAGATAAGGTTTTTTTGCCTCATTTATTTCATTTGGATTTAATCCAAAAATTCAGTGGTTTGTAAAGCAATGTCCAATGCTCCAGGCAGGTATCCCAAACTTAAATACTGCTTTAGTGTATTGAATAAGTAGATTTTTTTAATTTTTATTTTTTTAATTTCCACATACCTAAAAGTATTATTCCAAGTTGTTAATGCAAAAGCAAACAACAGCTCATGAACTTTGACCCCCAAGCTGAGTCATGTCTTTATAGCAGACTGTGGTAATAGCAGATACATGTGACATGTAAGTGATGCATGTAATGACATTTTTCATGTGATTTCTCCTTCTCCAAGGCATTATTCAACATTTTCACTACATGCATTGATGACATCAATTCCTCTTATGTCTACCCCTATTCAGTCCCCTCTGTATTCCTTACCAGTAGTTTTACCTTTCCCTTCTAAACAATTGCCTTTCCCACTTTTATATGTTTTATGTTTATATATATATATAAAATGTATTCATATATTAATACAGGAATATCATTATTTGATGAAAGATCAACAAAAAGCAAGAAAGAAACACAGAACAACACATGCCAAAGTACGAGGCAGCCCAATATAATCATGTATGTACAAAAAATGAGCAGAAGGGGAATGTGGGACCATAAACATGTCTCATTATCTTTGGAGGGGGACAGTGCCAAGAACCCAACTTCAGTGTAAAATACCAGTCATCAATGGATATGCCTTTTAGGAGCAGAGGGGTGCAGCCTGGACAAAATGCAAGGCAAATGTTTTGTTTGATTAGTCATCGAAAATGGTCTGGAAACTAGTGAATTCTAAGTAATTGTTCCAAGGAACCCATTGGATGGCTGTCAGTAATCTTTGTTCCCTGGCAAGCAAGCTTGTAGAGACATCTTCTTAAAACCACCACTAACTCTCTTTGATTTAAATATTCTGCAGGTTCTCCCGCCTGCTTATTCTTGCCTAGGAATGTGCACATATTTTATCAAGGGCCATGAGCGTCACTAGAGTGTTCCTACATTCCTGATTCATCTACAGTACAAATGACAACTATCTTGTATGTACAACACCGTAAACTCTAGGATGTTCCTTAGTGCACTGTATGAGCTGGATTTTCACAGTGGTGGAAACTGGGACAACCCCGGTTAGTCGGCCGGGGTGGGGGAGAGGGAGAGGACCTGCAGCTAGGCTAGCTAGACCTTTAATCTCTGGAGACTGGACTGAGGAACAGACAGAATGTAAGTACTCATATAGGCTTAAACTATGCCCAAAAGTTTCCTTCATCAATTAGTTATCTGCCAATGTCAGGATTTGGCAAAAATACAGCAAATTTCATCAACATAGCTTGGACTCATGAAGAGCTCTTACTACCTACATCCATCCAGCATGGGTATTTTGGTAAAGTACATGTGAATGGCTGAAGGGAAGGTGCTCAGGTCCACACCACAAACTGAATGGACTGACAGGATTTTACCTGGATATAAACAGAACCTATAACACCTGACTGTCATAGGGATTCTGGGTAAAACAGCAGAGAATGTTTAATCAAATATCAGGACAATAATATCCACCTTTCTCATTAACCAGCCATCTTTCAATTTCTATATGCCTGTCTCTGTTCCTCTAATTTTTCCTCCATTTTTATTCTTTGTTCTCTTTACCTACTTTATTTGTTTATCTCTCTCTCTCAAGCCTCTTACCAGCTCAAAAATCATTTTTTTAACTCTTGGTTCTGTTCCCCTTGTGCTTGACATTATCTCCAGAATAATTAGGAATACAAGATTTGAGGAGTCACTCCCTTTATCCAGCGTGAAACGCTTCCATTAATTATATTCTTATAGTGAACACCTTGGGACTTTTAGTCCAGAGCAGTTGGAGTGGCTGAGATTGCCTAACTCAGAAAGACACACCTAATACTGATTCATTTCTGAGAACAGAGAGAGGGCAGCCGTTTATTTTTACAATCCTGTTTATATAGGAGTTGATAATGATTGCAAAACTTTTTGCAGTGCACCTGCAATGCAAATGTCACATGAAATGTTTAGGTAATCACATATTACTCCTACATTATGCAAACCATATTGCTCAATACATAAACTAGTCAGTAGGTGCACCAAACTTCTCCAGCAATGCATTCTGCAGTATCTCAGATTTGCATGGGCCACGTGCTAAATACCATCACTACATCAGGGCTCCCAACAGTACCGCTTTCAGGGTCTTGTCCCGCTGTCCCAATTTAGTTCCTTGATGTCCTGCATCCAGGTACATCAGGGAAGTGTCCTCAGGCAGCACAGAGTGAGTGCACTTGTGTACCTTGCAGAGCTGCACTAGTACCATGCAGAGCTGCACTAGTACCATGCAAAGGTGGCCCTCTCCACGGTCCTGATGGAACAGACCGGCCAAGAGGCTGGTGTGCTTGACGCCAGGCTGTAGTGCACCCTTCAGTTACATCACCAATAATGCCCACCAATCCCGATTACATACCTCTAAGTGTTGGAAAGTAAGAATATATTACTTCGAATTATGGGAAGCCTTCAGATAATAACTTCAGATAATATTTATTAGCAATTTTGATTTGCATAATGAGATTGAATTTTACCACTTGCATAAAATGACTTCAACGCTTGTTGTGCACTTTTTCATGAGCAATGACAGACAAAATTTATAGGTTGAATGTTTTATATTGCAGAAAATGTATATAAGGCATTAATTTTGGCAATCTGCATGCTATAAGACTATGGGTTTAAGCACACCCACAATGCATCAATCTTGATCCCATGCACTAGTGTAAAAATATAAATTCTATGTATATATCTTATTGCAATCTGGGCATAACACAAAGCTGACCTTATATAAAATTAATTACATCATTTTTACCCATACAGGTTCATTACACCAATGTGACGATGTGTAATCTATTGGGCTAGACAGTATCTGTGTATAGTAAAAACAAAGAAAAAAAGTTACCTGCGCTCTCTCTCTTAATCCCTATGTATATTTAAACAAATGGAGGTCATTTAGTTACTCCAATGGCCACTGGAGGGAATGCCCGCCTGCCAACGTCAAGGCAGACCCCCCTAGACAGGTCCTACTCTGACCCTTTACCTTGCTTCCTTGAGCTTCTGACAGAAAATATCTCTAATGAGACAGAAAGGGGTATTTTTTTATATACACCCCTATATACTTGTTAACCCTTAATAGGGAACACATGGGATGGGTGGCAGCATTGTAACCTATCTGTGTGATACAAAAAGTGAATACAAATACAAAAAGAAAATTCATGCGCTCACTCCCATCACTCCTGGGCGGCTGCAATGACTACAGTACACATCAGATAATACATATAGTAAAAGCAAAGAAAAAAGAGAGCGCAGGTGACTTTTTTTCTTTGTTTTTAGTATATGTATTAGCTGATGTGTACTGTGGTAATTGCTGCTGCCCAGGAGTGATGGGAGTGAGCGCAGGACTTTTCTTTTTGTATTTGTATTCACTTTTTGTATCACTGTTAAAAAAAAAAGGTCCCCCCCCCGGCCCCCACCCCTGAGCGGCAGGTGGGGGCCCTAAAGTAAAAAAAGGGGGAGGACCTATTGTCCTCCCCACCGGCCCCCACCCCTGAGCGGTGATTGGGGGCCCTAAACTAGAATAAGGGGGGGACCTAATGTCCTCCCCCCTGATCTCCACCCCTGGGTGGTGGGTGGGGGCCCTAAATACAAATAGGGGGGGAACTAATGTTCTCCCCCCTGGCCCCCACCCCTGAGCGGTGGGTGGGGGCCCTAAACTAGAATAAGGGGGGGGACCTAATGTCCTCCCCTCTGGCCCCCACCCCTGAGCGGTGGGTGGGGGCCCTAAACTAGAATAAGGGGGGGACACCTAATGTCCTCCCCTCTGGCCCCCACTCCTGAGCGGTGGGTGGGGGCCCTAAACTGCCGAAGTCCCGAATTTCGGAATGCCGAACCGAGACGAATATTTTCCCCATGCACATGCCTAGTGTGTGGTTCTATATGTAGTGGAACTACACTGTTCATTGTCAGTATATCAGTGACTGGGTCGCAAGTACACTTTCACTATATTACTTCTATATTGTTTCTATATAATATCAGGAAGTATTACTTTACTGAGAGGGTAGTGGATGCATGGAATAGCCTTCCAGCTGAAGTGGTAGAGGCTAACACAGTAAAGGAGTTTAAGCATGCGTGGGATAGGCATAAGGCTATCCTAACTATAAGATAAGGCCAGGGACTAATGAAAGTATTTAGAAAATTGGGCAGACTAGATGGGCCGAATGGTTCTTATCTGCCATCACATTCTATGTTTCTATATAATATCTATGTTTCTATGTTTCTATATTACTCCCCTAAGGACCAAGGCTTTAAAGTGCACCCATACATATTATATATAATTTTTAAAGGAGAAGTGTTGTTTTCTTATACCATATATATATATATATACACACACACACACACACATATACAAAAGTATATATTTGTAGGAAGTACACCCCCAAGCTACAGAAATAAGAGCATTTTTACACATTTCATTTAATCATTTTATCATGAACCGTGGCTAAAATATTTATACCTTTGTGTTTTATTTTAAAGAAATTCACAGACCACATGTTACCAAATACTGTAAACACCCCATATTTGTATTCTGCTTCTGTTCTCGAGTACACGATACCTTTTTCCCTAATCTTGCCCATAATCCAACCTGTAATCCAACCCATAATGCTAAACGTAATATTTGAATGCATGTTCACTTTCTACGCTGCACATTGCTCATCTGTCATTTTAAGGGACACTAATTGTGACCCCAGCTGACAGAGGAGGGCCTCAGGTATTCAATGATACCTGGGTCGCCTAGATATCAGCAGAGAGCTAACCCTGCTCGTGTGTTTAATGCATGACGATCAATGGCATCAACAGGCGTTAAAGCCCTGCACTGCGTGACGGCACATAGACCGCCATGTGATCGTTAAGGGGTTAAGGGATTTAATTACATTTTTAATAACTAAAAGATGAAAGCATATCTTAATAAATGAACTGCATGATCTGACGTTACAGGATGCAGAATACTGCTTTGTAAGTTTAACTTCCCAAAAAATAATCCATCACAACAAATCAGTCTTTGAAAGTTCTGATATCACAATGGAATGTTTTCACTGATTCCAAGGAGGGGTTTGATTGAGCTTCAAATGCTATATAAGCTGGACATTCCAGTTGGTATATGGGGATCAGACTTTGATGCTGACATTTAAATTAAAAGAAGAAAATAGTTCTGGTGCTTAAAGTTTAATGCCATGGATAAAAAAATAAGCAATTACTTAGCTGGATCGGTAAATGTGAAGATTGCATTAATAATCTGAAGATTTAACCTATTTCTTTCTGAGTAGATGGCACAACTCTCCGGTACTGAATTGGTTAAAAGTTAAAGACGTAGACCTGATCCAATGCTTTTCCAGCAAGGGACAGAACATATTACCTAGTATAAAGTAGGGTGAAGAATTATCATTACTCTTAGTCTACATTATTGTGATGTGTCTGATGTTGAGACTACGCTGGCTCATGGTCAGTTTTACAGTCCGATGTGGCTTCTATCCTCTCTTATAGTCTTTACAGTGCATGATAATCCCTCTATCAGTAGAATGTAGCTGTTAGTCTCTCTTATAGCCTGATGTCTCTATCTAATATGATGTTACTGCTAGTCTATAGTATGATGGAGGCAATAGCTTCTCTTACCATCTGTTGTGGCCGCTTGTTTTTTTTACAATCTGGTGTAACTACTAGTGTATTCTACAGTCTGATGTAGCTCTTTGTTTAGCATGGCTGATTGTCTAGTGAAGATCCTAGTCTGTCCTGCGTTGATGCGGAAGATCTACCGTATTTACTTGAATGTAATGCGCCATCGAATCTAATGCGCACATCTATTTTTTTAATCCTGAAAGCGCATTTCTACAAGAAGGCACTGTACACAGAAACCACGTCTTGCATCCCTATCGCAGAGATGCAAATACGAATTTCATTCGCCCCAACAACTTTTGCCCCTATGAATTAACGTTGTATGCCCGTCGTATCTCTGAGCGGTCGTAATCGGAGTAAGTTGTAAAGTGAGGAGCAACTAGGTGAGCAAGTAGAGAGTAGTACGTGAGCACAGTTTGTCTTAATTGCACCGTGCTCTCTTTTTTATTAGTACTGATATCATACTCTAATGTAACAAGCCATTGAATCTAATGCACATTCAAATTTTGAGACTTTATTTTGTCGATAAAGGTGCGCATTGAATTTGCGTAAATACGGTATATCATTGTCACATATAACTCTAATTAAAGTTCTACAGTTCACTGTTAATATTTAAAAGCTTACTGGTGATGATGGAGCAGAAACCAATCACATACCTATGACTACTAACCTAGAGCCTCTCCTCACAATGCAAGAACAATGGCAACCGCCACTTGATATAGAACAAGTTCAAGACGGTTAAAATGACACAAAATGTTAGCAAACAAACCCTTTAATCCATTGTGATGTGCATAGGGCTCTGTTGACAGAACCGAGCAATCCTATAAATAAACATGTAAAAATGACCCTTGATATTCATTTTCCAAACAGTGAAATATACTGACAAAACAGAAATATCTCGATTTCAGGAATTTGCATACTCACTGTCGGAAAGCTGTCATTGTATTTTCTAAGTTTTCTCCAGCACCTTGAGTAAAGAAAACAGATAACATATGGGTTTATTCAAGCAAAATAAAGAAATATATACATATGTAATATATATAACCTACCACAAAAACATTACTAAGTCTGTATGTAAAAAATATTTACTTTTATGCTAATGATTCAGATTTTGTATGTAATATACTACAATATAAGGTTTACCCGTCTAACTTCTTACACGTATCTCCTCAATATTCATCAAATCATACATATTTACAAAAGGGTATTGATGTCTGTTCATGAAAATCCCAAGGATTGTAAAATTGCAATTTCTAAAAATATATATTTATACTGTTGTTAATATTAATTCTAAGTATGGGACTTGCATAGATCGCTGTTCAGGGATACCCCCTGAACAGCGATCTATGCAAGTCCCATACTTAGAATGAATATTATTTTTAAAAAAAAATTTTTTTAAACAAAAACAAAATAAAAAAACAAAACAGTAGTGAAGCATTTTAACATGTAATGTCTCATGTCACTGGCCCTTGCATTTGATTTTTGAAGACTAACTCTTTGTCTCTGTATCCCTGTCTTTCTCTTGTGACTATAACCTTTGCTCTGACAAAGCTCTAAACAGAGATAAACTAATGAATGACTTTGTGTATTGTGTTGATCTGATAAAAGTGATACTTTTCCATGTTAAAAAAGGAAATATCATTGAGCTTTAAGTAAACTGAGTAAAATAGGAAAACCGAATAGAACTGCAGAATGTGGCAAATTATAAGGATTATTAGACAAGACAATTTTGGCTGTCTAAATCACAAAATTGTGATGCTAACAGGGTTATTCACTACAGTTAGAATTCAAAGTGAATTTAAAATTTAAGGTCAAATAGCCGAACTGGAACAATTCTCTACACCTGTTACCGTCACAAATGTATGTTTTTGTTTGGTGCAATTAAAATCTTATACAAATATTTCAACTCAGAAAACACCTCATAAGGATAGATTGAGTGTGAGTTGAGATATTGTAAACTGCTTATTATTATCCCTTACATCTTAATGAAATGGTTTTAAATTACACGTGTAGAAAATTGTGTATTTTTAATTGTTGCATAAATCTTGCTTACACAAACCTCACAGGGAACCATTGTCAATTACACACTTTCTGTTCCTAATACATGCACTAAAAATGTACACAAAGAAAATTACACAAATCTTCACAAAAGATTAGGCTTTTAGATAATGCTGGTAATAAAACTATCCTATTATACACAAAATTATAGGAACTCTGTATAGGAAAATTCAGGGACAGCACGACAGCTAGACAGACTAGGCAGCCCGGGGTGTGCACTCTCCCCATGGAGGGAAGTACACTGCACAGCAGGAGGGAAGTACACTGCACAGTTCTCCCCTCCTGCTGCTCAGAGCATGTAGTGTGGCCAAGTAGACTGCTGTAGAGAAGGCTCTGAATTCTGTACCTGGACTGACAGGAAATGCAGTAGGGAGCACAGTACTGCTTCGTGTCAGTCCGGGTAGAGGAAACAGAAGTTTTCTACTGCTGTCTGCGGCTCAGCCACACTACAAGGAGGAGGAAGGTGAGCTGGCATGGGTGGGAGAAACCACAAAGAGACTTGTGTGGTGTGGAAGAGGCCATAAATACATGAGATGGCTTGAAGACCACCGAGGGGGAACATAGACTCACAAAGAGGGCTGGGGTGGGACAAAGAGACACACAGTGGGGCTGGGGGGAAAAAAAGAGACCCACAAAAGTGCTGGGGGCGAAACACACAGGGGGGCTGGGGATGGGGAAAAAGAGACACACAAAAGAATTGGTGGAGAATGAGACACACAAAGGGCCTGGGGGAAAATATAGGCACACAAAGTTGGCAATTTTTGTTTTGGGGAAAGGAGTGATAGTAGTTGGTCATGCCCGGGGCTCAAAAGAGTCTTGCACCGGCCCTGGCAATAATATAAGTTAACGGTCGGAAAGATGATCAGAGCACAAAATTGGTTACTCAGTATTATTAACACATGTAATTCTTTATTGAAAATCAGAGAAGACTAAAGAAAAGTAGCTGCACTATCAACTTAGGCCGCTATTTAATATTGTTAGATAAGCTTCCCAAATGATTTAATATTTTTGCTGTTTATGTAACTGTTACATCATATTATACCAGATGTGCATAACAATGTCACTATGACAATTCGCTTGAACAAGCAAAAAAATATATAAATTAAATATTATTGCATTGTGGACCCAGAACTTCCTTTTACAACTAGACAAAATCTCAATGTATCCTTCCTGGTAAAATATTATATAAATAAATAAACATCCATTTAAGAACAATAAACATATTTAATATAGACACCATTGTATTAGAAATATTAAAGGAGAGCCCAATGAGATAAATAGAAAGAAAAGGAGGGGATGGGGGTATGATGGATGAAAGAGAGAAGTGTAGCAGTGCAAAAAAGAAAAACTCTTGCATCAACCGTGGCAAGAAGTTTCCTATAAGTAGTTTCTACTTGGGAAACATTAGATAGGCACAGGGCCGGCCTTAGGGTTGTGCAGGCCAACAGGGCGCCATGGAGCAGGGGGCGCCGTGCGGCCGCACAGCTCACACATGGCTGGCCGGGATGTAAAAAAATATATATGTGGCAGGGGCAGAGTTTCCCGTGAAGCGGTGGTGGAGCTTCCCATGTGGCAGGGGCGGAGCTAAACATGCCGGATAACTGCTGCAGGGGAAACAGGAAGGAGTCCCTGCTTCCCCCAACAAACAGTCTCCAGGAGCTGCACTGCCTGTCTGCCTCCACAATGAACAGTGGTAACTATGTGTGATTGTCTGTGTGACTGTCTGTGTGTGTGTGTGTGTGTGTGACTGTCTGTCTGTGTGTGCGTGTGTGTGTGTCTGTGACTGTCTGCCTGTGTGTGTGTGTGTGTGTGTATGACTGTGTGTGTGTGTGTTTGTGTGTGTGTCTGTGTGTATGACTGTCTGCCTGTGTTTGTGTGTGTATGACTGTATGACTGTCTGCCTGTGTTTGTGTGTGTGTGCATGTCTGTCTTCCTGCCTGTGTGTGTGTGTCTGTGACTGTGTGTGTATGTATGTCTGCCTGCCTGTGTGTGTGTGTGTGTCTGTGACTGTCTGCCTGTGTGTGTATGACTGACTGCCTGTGTGACTGTGTGTGTGTGACTGTGTGTGTGTGTGACTGTGTGTGTGTGTATGACTATCTGCCTGTGTTTGTGTGTGACTGTCTGCGCATGTGTGTGTGTGCACGTGACTGTCTGCCTATGTGTGTGTGAGTGACTGTCTGCCTGTGTGTGTTTGTGTGACTGTCTGCCTCTGTGTGTGTGTGTGACTGCCTGCCTCTGTGTGTGTGGATGTCTTCCTGTGTGTGTGGATGGTCATCTGCCTCTGTGTGTGTGTGGCTGTCTGCCTGCATGGCTTTCTGCCTGTGTGTGTGTGGCTATCTGCCTGTGTGTGTGTGTGTGTGTGTGTGGCTGTCTACCTGTGTGTGTGTGTGTGTGTGGCTGTCTGTGTGTGTGTGACTGTGTGCATGTAAGTATGTGTGTTTAAGACTGTATGTGTGGCTGTGTGCATGTGTGTGTAAAACTGTATGTGTGGTTGTGTGTGTGTGGCTGTCTGCCTGTGTGTGTGTGTGTTTATCTACCTGTAACTGTGTATGTGTGTTTCTGCCTGCGACTATGTGCATGTGGTGGATTTGACAGTGTATATGTATAACTGTGTGCATCTGACTGTGGGAATGTGTGCACATAACTCTGAAAAAATATACACCTGCATTCACACACAGACCTAAATGCATGTTTTTATCTGAATTAAGTAACCATCACACACAGCCAATAAACCCAGCACAAATATCACATACAACCAATACAGGCATATCACACACAGTTAATACACCCATTACAAATATCACGCATAGCCAACACATAGCATACATATCACACACAGTCATCACATATATCACATACACAGACAACACAGACGGGACGCTGTGAAGATTTTTTGCACAGGGCGCCTAAAGGCCTAAGGCCGGCCCTGGATAGGCACTAGGAATATTTTTACTTATATACATCATTATCTTGATATCCTATACAGATGATCAGTCAGTCCTCAGGTGGTGGCTAAGATACGTGAGTAGACCTGATGGTGTTAAGGAGTTCAGTGGTTTTGTCTTAATAATTCTTGGAGGCAGGTGCCTTAGGCCTCAATAACCAACAGGCTATGTAGGGTTTCCAGATCTGAAGATATTTATTCTGATAACTCCTGCTCCTCAGTGTAATTCCTCCATAGTTATTGTGCCCTCCACCCTATTCACTCATTGTCAACAGTCAAGGGCTGGGGTTGTTTTCATTAAACACAGATTGGGGCATTGGCCTCATTCATTAGAACAGGGGTGCCCAAAAGGTATATCCCACATGTTTTAAAACTACAGCTTCCATGATGCTTTGTCATTCTAAAGCATTCTAAAGACATGCAAAGCATCGTGGTAGTTGTAGTTCTACAATATCTGGGGGTCCACATTTGGGCACCCCTGCATTAGAAACCAAAATAGATTTTTTTGGGGGGGGCTAAATCAGTAAAGGAGTTTTTCCCCTTCCAGCTATATCTGAGAGGGGAGAGGGAGGAGGATAGAGGTAAAATCTGTGTTATATAAGCAATGATTTGCTTCCAGGATGACTGAAAGCTCGGACAGAACTCTAGTGTACCTCCATCCTGTCCACAACACCTGTTCTCAGGGTTCGGAAAGTACAAGTGTAATTGTGAGGGCGTCCTGTACCAGCATGTGACCCATTTATAAAAAGGATTCCTATTTGATCTGACTAACTGAATTTAACATTACTTTCTGAAAACTATGCGACCCATCGCTAACCGTTCGGTGTACATGTAGGGTTGCTTCCCAGGTTCTTTGGAACTGAGTTAGAGCTTCATCTGTTTTGCCTTTCTGTGTTATAGTATATATTTTAGATAAGAGAAGGTGCATAGTTGCTCAAAAGGAGACAGCTCTCTTGGTTGTCAATGGGGTATCACCTCCCTCTGAAGAAAGTGTGTAAGTTGCTAATAGCCAAGAGTGTCAAGCATGGTTGGGGGTTTAGCAGAGCCCATCAGCTTATTCATTGTTGGGATGGAGTTACCCATTAGTATAGTATTTAATGTTTTCCGAAATAAGTCCAACAAGCAGGCTTGAATGTGAGCTCTTTGGTCGTTTTGAAAGTCAGGGTTGTCTGTGATTTTACATAGATATGGCACACCAGGGGTAAAGATGCCACTAATTTTTGTGTTTTTCCTCAGGTGGAGCACGCTAGATATTAAGGGGTGTGACAAAGGGTTGAGCCAAGAATAGCCCAATTTAGCCATGTAGTACATGGAGGGGAACAGTGGTGAGCTGTGCTCCAGTGAGTACTATGGTTGCTGTGGCCGTATACCCTCCTGAAGAT